ATAGGCTCCTAAAAGTTGTACACCTGAAGTTGAAGTTCATGAACTTCGGCCGAAGATCAGCCGAAGTCGACTGAAGTTCGCTATGTAAAATTTGATCGAAGTTCACTGAAATTCACCGAAGTTCACCGAAATCCATCGAAGTTCACGGAGTTCCCCGAAGTTCAAAAGAAATCATAGAAGTTCACTGAAGTTCAAAATAAACTAGTACAGAGTGAAGGCTGAACTTAGCGATTTTGAGTGCTTACTATGAGCGAGTCCCCAGCTTACTTAAAGCAGATATCTATGCGCCGAGTTACAAAGCAAATTATGCTTTTATGTCTCTAGATCGGGTCGAAGTTCATGAACTTCGGTCGAAGTTCTGCGAAGGTCATCGAAGTTCTCGAAGTTCAGCAGAGTTTACTGAAGTTCGCCGTAGTTTGCAGAAGTTCAAGGAAACGTACACCGAAGTTCAAGCCTATCTCCCCTTGGTTGTGCAGTGGTGGCTGATAAACTTCGAAGCCTCAGCCTTAAAACCCGTGGAACGACTGATGAAATTGTTGGAAATTCTTGGCGGGTCCTATTATTAAAGCTCTAAGAGTACGTAATACTAGACCTAAGTGGTGGCTCCCGCAAAATGGAGGTGAACATGGGATACTTAGGAAAGAAAATGCATGTTTTTTGATAATCACCAATGCGTAGTATACACTGCTTATGGCATGCATAACACGTACGTTCAAAAACATTCCGAGCTAATTTGCAGAAGTGCCCTTACCTGGCACACAGGTGAACGGAAGTGGCGACCAGTTCCCGTCTTCACGGCACATTGAAGATTCCATCCCAGGATCGTCGTCGACTTCAGGGTGGAGTCCAATCTCATTGCTAGATATGTCATCGACAGTCGGACGCCGGTCACCTGGCTGTAAATCAAAAACATCATTTATATTTTACTCACCCAGACAAGGGCGTATTAGCTACCAGTGTGTTACAATTCTGATACTACATAGTATATACTGTAAAAGGGTATTTTAGCTAGTTATAACCCGAGGGGTTGATAACTTTTCTGCTTAGTATACACCCCTAATTCTGTCCAATTCAAACTAAGTCAAAATAATTATTCAAACGACTTTAATTTAATTCAACAAAATTTAGAAATAATTCTAGCCAATTCAAAAAAAAATATCCAATTTAGTCCAACAGTGTTAAACTAAGTGTTCAACTGCTCAACACTTCTAGGTGTGCAACTCCAAGTTAAATACTTGCAAGTGTGCAACTGCAAGTTGAATACTTGCAAGTGTGCAACTGCAAGTTGAATACCTGCAAGTGTGCAACAGCAAGTTGAATACTTGTAAGTGTAAACTCAGTAGGTGTGCACTTGCTACACAGTAAGCGTCCAATCTACGGAAGTGTTCAATCGAGGAGTTGCACACTTGCAAGTGCACACCTACCGAGTTTAACACTTACAAGTATCAAACTTGCAGATGCACACTTGCAAGTATTCAACTTGCAGTTGCACACTTGCAAGTATT